GGGGGCAGCGGGAAGGGACGGGGCACCGTGAATGGTTGATCTTCACTGGAACAGGTAGAGGCTCTTTCTTGTCCTGCATCTGCAGCAGAAACGATGGGGGTCCTGGGTGGCTCATATCCCAGTCTGGTGATTGGGGTCTCCATTTGCAGAATGAGGATTAAGTTCCTTCAAAATCCCCATGAGCTGGAAGCACAAAATTATAACATGTCATTTAAATATACGAAAGGATGCAAGGGGCAGATGAAGTGAATGACTCCACCTTCCACCCTTCACCCACCCAGTGGCTCTGATAGCACTCTGCTCTGTGATGGAGCAGAGCTTCACAGCCCCAAACCTCCTTCACCTGAGGGGCCCCACCCTCCCTTCCGCTGGGGGCTGGCGTTGGTGGCAGTGGTGGGACCCCAGCTCTAGCCCTCCCAAGCATCACCAGAAGAAAGTTTGGCTTCATCAGTTCTCTGAAAATTACTTGTTGCATCACTTTTCCAAATCTCATTTAAAGGGGTACTTTGCCATCAGTTATGTCAGAATGTCCTTGAAAACTGACCAAAGTTTTGGGGGCTTCACAGCACAGGTTAGGGCTTGTGTCTCATTTTCCGTGGAGGGTTTGGCAGTCAGTCATGCAATGACTTCCTCCCCCAAACCCCCCAGATAACTTTTGTCCCTGGTGATTCTGTTTTCATTGCTCTCACCCTGCAGTTTTCACATGGGGTCTCAGAAAACAAAATTCCAGCCCAGTGTAGGCAAAGTCACTCTTCTCCAGGTGTGGTTTAGAGGGGCCGTACATAGGTGGGGACACCCTGCCCGCCCTGAAGCTGTGGGTACTAACCGACTCGGAAAAGTCCACCTCACAGGTGGCAGGAGGATGAAGGAGACGGGGAATGGCAATGATTCAGTGTCATTGTTATGCACCTACTATATGTCAGGACCCTTATCACACCCCCAGTTCCTGCGGCTGCATGGATAGTGTTCAGATGTCCCTCGGGCCTCTGCCTATCCAATAGGTACATTGAGTCATGTTTAGGTTCACAACTCTTGTTTTCTTTGACATTTTGAAACCCTCACATTGACTTCACCACCTTCCCAGTCTTACTGGGTGGAATTTGAAGGCCTACTAAGTGGGTCTGTGCAGTCTACTTGGAGAGGTTGTTTTGGTGTCTGGGAAGTGGAGACCCTGGGGCTGCAGGTGGTCAAGGGCTGTGGGCACTTCTGCCGTCAGACCCTTGTTTGTTTGGTTGGCTGTCATTAGTTTTCTTTTTTTTCCTACTAAGATAGCAGAGCATCTTTCCAAAATAGTTCCCCAGGTTTTGTCATGTAAGAAGCAGCCAGAACATTCAGTCTCTCAGTACTCGGGGCCCACTGGGGGGTCCCTAATGCTGGGGATACCACAGGTATCCCCAGATACAAAAAACAGATCCCTTCCCTGCAGGAGCCCATGTTCTTGTGGGGGAGACATTGGTAAGTCTGCAGTGTATCTGGCTGTAGGTGTGTGCCGCAGACAAACACCCAGCAGGGACAGAAAGGAGAATCCACTCTGAGGAGGAGAGAGCAAGCCAAGATAGCACTGCAGGTGGAGAACGGCATGAGCAAAGGTCCTGGGGCAGGTGTGTGCCTGCTGTGGTCTGAGTGGTGAACAGGAGAGAAGTGAAACAGCACAGTCAGGGGATGCCAGGAGCTTTTAAAAATTGTGGCTACTCATATTAGGAGCCTAGGCTTCCCTGGTGACTCAGTGGTAAGGAATCTGCCTGCCAATGCGGGAGACACAGGAGATATGGGTTTGATCCCTGGATTGGGAAGATCCTCTGGAGGAGGGCGTGGCAGCCTACTCCAGTATGCCTGGAGAATCCCATGGACAGAAGAGCCTGGCAGACTACAGTCCATGGAGTCACAAGGAATTGGACACAACTGAAGCAACAGCACACATGAATTCACACATTAGGAGCCTTGGGCCTGTGTGTTTTACATATGTTCTCTACTTCTTATACGTGCCTTGAAAGATAAGACTGGTTATTCCCTTTTATAAATAAGGGGCTTGGACAGTCTAAATGTCCTGACCAGGAATGCACAGAGTAAACGCTGAGCGGGAATCCCACCTGCAGATTCAGGGAAACTCAGTCTGAGTCCTTCTGTGGAGAATGCAGGGCAGGGGCAGTGGGTGCCAGAGGCCCTTCTCCCTCCTTGCCTCCCACACCCTAGGATCACAAAGCATGGTACAGCGGGGAGGCCCCTGGACAGCCCCCCAGGGGCCCGGTGCTGCCTTTGGGAAGATTCAAGCTCCTACAGAGTGATTTAGAAGTTTTGGTGGGTCTGACTTTGAGGGCTCACTGATTTGGTTTGTAAAGTTTTCCTATAGATATAAAAGGTATTGGACATTTTCCAACATAAAAAGTAACCTGCATGCATGGTAGGAAGTTTAGAAAGGAGTCTGTGGTGGGGTTTGGCTCCATCCCTCACTGCATACCCTGAGAAGCTCTAAGGGTCCATGAGACGAAGGCCTAAATGTTCCGTGCCTGGCCTCACACGGAGCCGGTGTTTTGTCAGCGGCACTCGGGTTGTTTTTAATGTGTTTATTATTATTTTAAGATTTCTAATACTAATAAAAACAGTAAGATTGGGATTACTCGTAACTCTGCAGCCAAGGGAATATCTTGTCCTGTTCTGCTTCCTGCAGGCTGTTGTGGACTGTTCTCCATGTGGGGCTGACCACGGGGCTCTACTTAAAATAATTAACAGGCACTTTGGGGCAGTGCCTGAATGTAAATCAGAAGAATTTTTGTACGGCTTGTTCTTGGCTTCCTTTTTCCTTTAATTCATTGTGCCAGTCCATTTTCATTCAGATTGAGGGAGGAGGACTGGAGTCATGGACGCATGGACATCTGTTTCTAGACATTGCCAACTCCCTGCCGGCTGTGAGGCTCCTGGGCCTGGCGCTGTCCACCCCTCCGCTCTGGGGGGATTGAGATTCTCCTGGAGCAGAGTGTCTTCTGCTGCTCACTCAGCAAAGCAAAAGGGGAATACCTGATTCCCCAGGTCTTGCCGTCATTTTCTTGGCCACAGCTGGTGAAGAAATGAGATGAAAGATGCTCATCTGTGTACTGTGACTTTCAGTGTCTGTGTTTCATGTAGGGCAGAGGCACCCCCTCACTGTGCACGGTTGGGGCAGAGGACTTGAACTGGTGTCTGTCTTGGGCTCCAGCTCCCACTTCACCCACGGGCTGTTCTGCATGAGCCCAGAACATCCTAAACACAGTGACCTAGTGACTCACACATGGGTCGATTTTTCACTTTCACAGTTGGAAGGGTGACGTTTGCACGTGTCCCCTAACTTGGGGCACTCATTCGGAGGTCCTCATGTGCTTAGCTGGGTTCAGTAGTTCCTCCTCCTGGCACCTTCGGGTCACTTGCTGACGCTCTGCAAAGCATCATGACCCGGTGCCACCTGTCTGTGGACCAGCCACGTGCAGCAGGGGTGCCCAGGCTACGGAGCCAGAGAACCTGGGTTTTGGTCCCACCTGGGCTTCCCAGCAGCTCCCCAACCTGGGAAAGTTACTCATGCTCTTTCAGCCTCAATTCTTCCTCTTTACAAAGGGAATACACTAGAAAGTCAGAGAAAATACACTGAGTGCATACCCTGTGACTGGTGCTCTGTGACCACCAGCTGTCGTTGACACCATTCCCTAACGACCCTACGGCTGCATCTAGTTCCTGCCTCTTACTTAGACGCTCACGTCCAGTTGTCTGTCTTGCAGACTTGGTTTATTTACTGTATTTTGTGTATCATTGCTCCCCCCAGCCTTCCCACCAGGCGGTACGTTAAAAGGAGGGTCCCGAGGTTCACACCAGCCTGTATCCCTGTGTCCCGTGTCCCCCTTCAACTTCTCGCTCTGCTTCTTCCTCTTGTGCACAGTTGAGATAAGAAGGAAGCTGGAGTCTCATGTTCTCTGAGCGTAGCAGCCCAAGATGCCCCACAGGTCTCTGTTCTGGAGTGTCACCCCTGTGTTTTTTTAAAAAGCTGAAACCTGCTGATGGTGGAGTGCATCAGGGCTAGAGCTGGGTCCCTCAGAGCGGCTCCAGGCCCAGTCGCCACTGAAATGCAGTGGCTCCCAGAGCCACAGACACGGGTCAAGCCCTCTGCAGCTCCATTATTGTGGTCTGCCTGCAGTTTCACAGTTGGGAAAGCAGGGAGGCAGAGCAGGATGCAGTGGGAGGTGCTGACCGCGAGCTCTCTTGTGCTCTTGAGTGCCCTCCCTTTGTTGTGAGCCAGCGAGTGGTTGTAATTAATAATAGTGGCAGAGGGTTCCACTATTCCCATCTGCATTGGAGGCCTAATTTTGTTTTCCTTGGCCGTCCCGGTGCATGGAGATCAGTGCCTACCCCTCTGTGTTTTGAGGTCCTGCTGCGCCTTCGTGGGCACCTTCTTGGCCCAAAGATGCTGCACTTCCAGGAAGGCAGGCCAGAGACCAGTTCCTGTGCTTTCTCTTTTTGTTGAGCTACATATTGAGATTCTAGTGGATCTCAGAAGGTTGACAACAGCAGGCACCTAAGTCAGATGTTCTGTTTACTAAGGATTTGTTACCCAGGCCCCTGGAAGATGCCTTGTAGGTGCTGACAGAAGCTCTCCCCTGTCTTATGCACAGTCCACTCTTGAGTCTTGGAGACTTGTGAGTGGAGCTGTGCTCACCATTCATACTACAGATGAAATGAACAGTGAGCCCTCAAGACAAGATGACTGAGTGTGAAGGAGCCCAGAGATTCTCTAAATGACCCTTCTCTGTGCATAAAAAGGTAGGGCCTGAAGATGTTTGATTATTCAGATTTCTTTGTGGGCATTTGCTACGCAGGAGTACATGTAGAATTTTTGGATTCTAGAAGAACCTTTGGCCCTGACCATCCTAAGTTATGAATTTGTTTATTTGTTTAGACAAAATATAGATGTGTTCCGAGAGCCCAAAGCCCCCTTTCATCTTTGACTTACAGTCTGTCTCTCGTTTCCTCCCCACCAGTGCTGCACACGCAGGGCCCTGTGGACGGCAGTCTTTACGCCAAGGTGAGAAAGAAGAGCGCTTCAGATCCCAGTGTCCCAGCTGGGTCTCCCACCGTCCCGGCCGCCAGCAGCCCAGACCACAGCGACCACACCCTGTCTGTCAGCAGTGACTCGGGCCACTCCACAGCCTCGGTGAGGACCGACAGGACCGAGGAGCACCTGACTCCAGGACCCAAGAGGGGCCTGAGCCCCCAGGAGAAGGCCGAGCTGGATCAGTTGCTCAGTGGCTTTGGCCTCGAGGATTCTGGAAGCCCCCTCAAGGATATGAGTGATGCTCGCAGCAAGTACAGCGGGACCCGCCATGTTGTACCGGCCCAGGTCCACGTGAACGGAGACACCACCCCCAAGGACCGAGAGACAGACATCCTGGATGACGAGATGCCCAGCCACGACCTGCACAGTGTGGACAGCATCGGGACCCTGTCCTCCTCAGAGGGCCACCAGTCAACCCACCTGAGCCCCTTCACCTGCCACCAGAGCAGCCAGAACTCCCTCCTGTCTGATGGATTCGGCAGCACCGCTGGCGAAGATCAGCATGGCGCTCTGGCCCCAGATCTGGGGCTCGCCGCGGAGCCCCTGTTTGAGCGAGAGCGGGCTTTCGGGAGCCGCGAGCACAAGCAGCCGCAGCCTGTGCTTAGGAAGCCCTCCGTGCCCACCCAGACGCAGGCCTACGGGCCGAGCAGCTACTCCACGCAGACCTGGGTGCGCCAGCAGCAGATGGTGGCCGCTCACCAGTACAGCTTTGCCCCTGATGGGGAGGCCAGGCTCAGCGGCCGTGGTGCAACCGACAGTTCCAGCCTGCTGCAGACACAGCCTAGGGTCCCGCTCACCCCCACTCGGGGGGCCAGCAGCAGAGTGGCCGTCCAGAGGGGCATAGGCCCTGGGCCACATCCTCCCGATATACAGAGACCCCCTCCCGGCAAAGCAGCCTTCAAACCCAGGATTCCAGATGTCAAAGTCGTGAATGGTACTGGCCCGGAGCTGGGCGCAGACCCGTCCCCAGGCTCACCCACCCTGGACATCGACCAATCCATTGAACAGCTCAACAGGCTGATCTTGGAGCTGGACCCCACGTTTGAGCCCATCCCCACCCACATGAACATGTCGGGCAGCCAGGCCAATGGCCCCATGACCCCAGAAGGCATGGGAGGCGGGCTGCGGGCAAGTGGCCGCCTGCAGGACACAGAAGGCCCTGGCAGGGCCCCAGTGAGGCAAGGTGAGCTGGAGTTTCATGGTATGCACGCTTGTCTGTGTTTTGCAGAATAAGGTTTTATGGAGGAGCTCCGGGCTCATCACAGAGTCTGAAAGAGGGGAATGAGGACAGCTGGGGCCTTGGGCACAGTCTTGTGAGGATAGGCAAGTGACCACACCGTTTAGGTGTGGACGGTGGCCACGAGCTGGCCACCCAGGGAGTGGGGAGGCTGTTCATGGGGCAGCAAGCTTGAGCTAGAGAGAGGGCTGAGGGGTGGGTGGAGGTGGGGAGCGGGAGGAGTGATGGAGGGGTAGGTTCTGGGGAGTCGGGGCCCAGAGGCTTGGTAAGGATCCCAGCCACCACGGCAGGCTGCAGGGCCCAGCGGCAGCCCCAGCACAGCAGGGCCACGGGCCCTGAGGGCGAACCTGTGTGCACCCTGCAGCCTTCAGGGCTCTGCTGCGCAGGAGGCGGGCACTGTGCAGGCTCTTAGAACGTGGTTTGTGCAGGGCCAGGGCTCCCTGCCCAGCTGCGAGACCTGGGAAGGCTGGAGGTGGCTGTAGTGGACAGAGGTGACCTCTGGGTGTATGGCCGAGTGGATGTGGGAGCAAGCGTTGGGTTCTAGCCTGTGATAGGCTTTCCATGTTGGAGAGGCACAGGCTGTGGGGCCTGGGAGGATGCCCTGCAGGCAGTGGGCACTGGGACAGAGTGGGTTAAGGAATACTATGTGAGGCCATTGGGGGAGTGTGTGTATAGAAACTTCCACACAGAGGAGACAGGGCCAAGTCTAGACGCTTCCACACAGAGGAGACGGGCCAAATCACTTGTCCAAACCTGGGTGCTGCTGAGGTCTGGGGAGGTTTAGGGAGGGATGGAGCTGCAAGGATCCAGGGGTTACTTTGGGGTCGAGAGTGTGGTGACCAGTGAGACCAGGCCTCCCTGTGTTTGCATGTAGGTGTGCATCTACATCTTTGATGTCAGCTGGTTCCCTAAGGATCCTGCCTCTGAAAGTGAAGATGGGAGGTGGGATGAAGGAAGGATTCTGTAGCTTCCTCTTAGTCCTGAGTCTGACCCCAAGGGCTGAGCCAGGGTCACTGATAGGGCAGGAGTGCTGCTCTTGCCACTGGGATTGTTCTGGGCCCTTTCATCTCAGGCCCCTTAGCTGCAAGAACAGATCCCGTCTAACAGTTGCGTTTCCAGAGGTGTCAGTACGTGGCCTGCCTAAGGTCTCATAGGTGGTTTGCAGGACTCGGCCCTGTGGCTGCACACAGAAGCCCTGTCTGCTTTGCAGTCAGACAGGGTAGATTTCAGACCCATCCAGGTCCCAGATGGCTTGGGGAACCTGAGCTTTGCAGACCTTGGTCCTGTCTAGCTGTGCGCTGGCTGACTGTGTGACTTTGGGTTAAGGGTGTAGTTTCTGAATTTCACTTCGCTCCATCTGCTAAACCCTGTCACATACCCGGCTGGCGGAAAGGTGCAGGCAGTGCTGGTCTGCAAGCCCCTGAGGGGTGCCTGGATCATAAGTGTGATGATGCTGTGACATCCTGGCTTCCCTGGTGGCTCGATGCTAAAGAATCCGCCTGCAATGCAGGAGATGCGGGTTCGATCCCTGGGTTGGCGAGAACCCACTCCAGTCTTCTTGCTTGGAGAATCCTATGGACAGAGGAGCCTGGTGGGCTACAGTCCATGGGATCGCAAAGCGTGGGACATGACTGAAGCAACTGAGCTCGCACGCACGCTGTGACATTCATTTCCTTTCCCTGAGTACTTGGGCCCTTGGATATCAGAAGCTTGGGAGTTGGGAAAAACAGAGAGGGCCTTCTGGGAGTAGGTTATCAGACTTGAATATGTAGCTGTCGGACAACAGTAGTAATTGTAGCAACAAAACAGATGGAAGGATTTGGATATGTGAACTCATTTAGTCAGATACATTCAGGAGATTCTGAGTTTAAAAAAAATTTCAGTGGGAACAAAGCTATTTGCATCCTGTCTCTTACCTCACCAAACCTACTTAAAAAGGAATTTCTTGGAAAAATTAAAACCAGAAAAATTTTTTTTTTTCCTTTCTTGAATTAAAACCTCCTTTGAGATTTGGAAGAGGTTGGGGGCGGCCGAGTGTACAGAAGAGGGAAGGATTCTAAGCTCAGGTTACCGTCTGACAGCTTCGTTTAGTTCATTTGTTTTCCAGTGGATGGAACATAGCCCTCAATGACTCTTCTGTCTTTTTAACAGTAGAACATAGAGCCTGGGGTTTTAGAAAGTCCCTTCATCTCCTCCATCCTTTAGCTATACTTAATTACTTGATAAACTCATCACTGTAATTACTGGAATTTTAATTTTGATTTTAGGTCTTTTCTATTTCCTGGTCTTATAAAGTAATGACATTTTTAAAATGAAGGGACTTGAATACTTCAACAGACCTGTAAAATTTCAGCGAATGTTAGGTTATTAATTATGCAAATTCAGTTAAGAGTGTTTATTAATCCATTCATGTTTGTTAGGAATCTTGGGTATTCATCAGTTTTCTTGTATACTTGTAAAACTATGGTGATGTCGGGATGAGGTATAAATAAACATGGACACTAATCTTCAGAGACCTTCCTGAAATTTGGGCATGAGCTTCTGGTAGGACCCCTGAGCAGTGATGAATACCCACCAGCTGGGCAGCTTGCAGCTTGCAGCATGAGGACTGGCCTTCTAACTTGGAGTTCAGGTTTCAGTTTCAGAGCGAGCTCCTGTTTGAGGACAGTGCCAAGCCGGGAAATGCAGAGCCTTGGAGACTCACACCACATTGATGAAGAGGATCTGGACGGTGTAGAGGGTTCTTGGAACAGTCTGCAGGCGGATTTCTGGCTCTCATTCTGGGACGTCTTGTCTTGCTAGAAATCCTATCTAAAGAATATGCATGTCTCTAGCTTTCAGCCATTTGAATTGAGATGGAGAGAGAACTTTCTTCTCTCCCTGGCTGGTGTAGAGGACACTGGAACCCATTTGATTTTAATATCAAAATGTCATCTGAGTATTTACATCTTTCAATTGCAAAAAAGCTAGACCAGCCAGTGATAAGAAAAAATCACTAGATGGCAAGGAGAGTCAGCTAATCAACTGATGCTGAGTTGTGGAACCTTTCAGAAGGTTTGGGGATGCTGGATCCCTGTGCTTTGAAGATGTTCAGATCCCCATCGCACACTTCCATCCTCTGGATGGGGGAGTCCAGGGCTGCCAAGCTGAGCTGGTCCACATGTGGTTCTTGGCTCTACCACGCTGAGTAGGAAGGGAACATTGAGTCTGGAAGGCTCCGTGATATTTGCAGGACAATGGCTTTTACCCCACAGATGCATTGTTCCGTGTCTGTGTGCCTGAGGCTCAGCCCTATTGATGTAGGTCAGTATCTGACCAGAGCAGCCCCAAGTCTTGCACACAAATGGGAAATAGGCTGGAAAGTTCTATGAAGCTGTATTTCCTACATGAGACCCTCCTTGGCCTGCCTTGCATCTTGTCCCCAGATGCTGACTGCTGCACGGTGTGTCTTAATTCTGGCTGTAGAAAAAGGTTTGTCACAGAGACTTTAGCATCCTGAGGTCAGTGAAATCCTTCACTCTTTGCAGAGGGTGTCCTGATTATGAGAAAGACCACAAGTTACCTGGTGGTAGGGAGTTGGGGGTGGTATTACCTGGAGCTCCTTCTGGGGCTTGCTGTGTGTCCTGCACAGCTCACATTGCACCAGCTCTTCAGGCAGCAAGCAGCATGTCTACCAGGGCTCTGGTTATTTCTGAGATGACAATTATATGCGATGGCCAAGTATTTTCTGAGAAAGTCTACCTGCAATCAGCACAATAATAATAATGGTGAGGATGGTGGTGGTGGTAGGATTAATGATGATAGTGATGGTGATGGTGATGATAGTTATGGAGGTGAGGGTGACGGTGGTGATGGTAGGGGGGTGGTGATGGTGATGGTAATGATAGTGATGGTGATAGTGATGGTGGTGAGGGTGACGATTGTGATGGTGGTAAGGGTGATGATGGTGATGGTGGTGGTGATGGTGATGGTAATGATAGTGATGGAGGTGAGGGTGACGATGGTGATAGTGGGGGGGTGGTGATGGTAATGATAGTGATGGTGATGGTGATGATAGTTATGGAGGTGAGGGTGACGGTGGTGATGGTGGGGGGGTGGTGATGGTGATGGTAATGATAGTGATGGTGGTGAGGGTGACGATGGTGATGGTGGTGAGGGTGATGAGGGTGATGGTGGTAGTGATGGTGATGCTAATGATAGTGATGGTGGTGAGGGCAGTGATGGTAAGGTGATAGTGAGCACTGCCACTCAGCACGTCCCCTGTTCTTGACGCTATGTCTGCATCACCCCTGACATTCATTCCCAATGAATAAACAGGCTTCCCTAGAAGCTCAGCTGGTAAAGAACCTGCTTGCAATGCAGGAGACCCCAGTTTGATTCCTGGATCAGGAAGATCCCCTGGAGAAGGGTTAGGCTACCCACTCCAGTATTCTGGCCTGGAGAATTTCACAGACAGAGGAGTCTGGCAGGCTACATGGGGTCGCAGAGTTGGACACGACTGAGCGACTTTCATATTCATAGTGTATAAACAGCCTCCATCTGTCTCACTCTGCATCCTATGGCTGAGACCTAATTCCACTAAACTCAAATTCTGCTCCCAGTTCAAAAACCCCTGGAGGGCCGTGCCAGTGACTTCTTTTGTTTCCTGGCATGTAGTAATGTTTGTAAATAGAGCAGATGTGGTGCTGGTGGAAGTGTAGGTAACCCTCTAAGAACTCATGTGTCTTCGCCGAATTGGCTTGGAGAACTTAGCGAGATTCATCATGGACCATGTAGGAAGTCGGTCCTGGCCCATGAGACAAGAGAAAGGCCCTACAGTGGTGGAATCTCAGAAGGCCTTGGGCGGCCTTGTAAAATGGGGTGAAGTGTGGAGGCGTTTTGTTCCGTGCAGGTGCTCAGCGCCTCTGTGGTTCCCCTGCTCTGAGCGGACACCAGACTGTGCTTCA